TATATAAAATTTATATATATCTATACATAAATATAAATATTATATATATTATCATATAATATATATATATATATATGTATTTAGTACATCCAAATGATTCAATATATCATTCTAATTCTCTATCATGCATACTTGCCTCGAATATATGTCTCTGTACGCTACTACATCTGTTGATCCTTATTCATTTATGCATCTGCATTCGTACTTACATGTTTGTATTTTTCAAATGATTCCGTTAATATATACATGACTATTGTTCTTCCATGCGTAACTTTCGACCGTGTTGACCTGAGATTGAATTGTGTAATTTGGTATGTTTAATGCCCTCTTTTGCAGGAAATCTGCTTTCTAGGAATCAAACAGCTAACGATACTCGCAAATTAATAGTACTGCCTGAAGGACTGGTTCTGGGACAATTGTAAGCTGCACAGTGTTGAGTGCAATCTTGTTTCAGGCGTACGCTTCGTGCTTGCTTGCAAATCTGATTGATCCGTGTAAGGCAAATATACCTACATGTGTTTTACAATTAAATTATAGTTAATATACTATATGTACATCGTTTTGATTAATATAATATATTTGGATTACAATTATATTATGATTAATATACTAGATTTGCATTATTATACTATTATAATTAATATACTCTAAATACGATATTATGATATTACAAGTAATATACTACATTCGCATAGTTGAACATTGAACACATGCACATCACCACGTACATGCATACCGACCGTTCGCAGAGAAGCGTCTGTTTGTCCATATTCAATTAAAGGGTCTTCAACAGACCGTCTCCGGTTCGCAAGTGTACATTACAGCTATCGCCCTGATTGATCACAAACCCTCACGTCCGCAGAGGCGATAATTACGATACCGTGTCGAGTCAGGACTATTCTGAGTACAACTACACCACAGTGCACGTGGTATGTGCTGATCAGGGTTTAAAGTTTAGGGTTTTAGAGTTTTAGGGTTTAGGGTTTTCGTCTTACGGCTTATGGACCCAGCGACTTGAGCTTAAAATAGAATGTGCGTGCGTGTGCTGTGATATACGTAATTGGTGCTTTGTGGGTTAAACGCAAGAACCCGAGCGTGCGGCCTTCACTATGCTGGACTAGTAGTGGTGTGATTTTTTATTTAGTGAATTGTACATGCATATAATTTTGACATATACAGGCCTATATATATATATACAGGCATGTGTTCCTTGTGATGCATGCATATAGTTTTAACATATACATACCTATATATATATATATGTATATGCATGTGATATGCGAAGTGTTGTATATGCTTATAGTTCTAGCATATGTATACCTATATATCCATGCATGTGTGCCTTATTGAGACAGAAAGTATATACCTTAGCCTGCAACAAGCCAAACAAGCAAGTGTAAATGCGCATCCCATTTGCAAACATAAATAAAGATTTAAAACATTTTTCTCGCCTCTCTCCAGTATAGTATAGACATATTACATACGCTGCTCAAGAACAATGGTAGAATTGTTAGTGCACTCTGCGCGTATAGTCGTCCTTTGCTCATGGTACGCGTGTGAGTGATCTGTGTTGTATGAATTTCTTTTCTCCCTCGCTTGGATACATACCCTCTGAGGTAGGTATCTCGCCAGGGTGTAGAGTTTTCAAAGAACACTGAAACAAAACCCTAAAACTGTGAGATTGTTGTGGAACATCGAGAACCCCGGGAAAGAAAATAGATACCATATATGCGAGTATGACTCTGCAAAGTTTTGTACATTTCTGATATTTATCTGGTATATCAGGCAGTGCAGTACTTGGGAGATTCATGAATGTTCCTAAATTTCCTCCTGCTTATATTTATACGAGCATAACTTTGTGAAGTTCTGTACTTGTCTGAAATATATCTGGTAGATGAAGCAGTGCGGTACTTGAAGACTCGGGAATGTTCCTAAATTTTCTCCCGTTTATACGGATGTACAGGACTTTGAGAATCCTGAGTGTCTCGAGGTCGATCCCGAAAGACAGAAGTCTCCACCGAAAAGAAAGTACTTGTCGGAAGGCATACACGGTGAGCTTTCATTTTGATGTATATTAAGCATGTTATGTAGTATATATATTCACAGTATACTTTGATGTATATTGATCATGTTATGTACTATATATATTCACAGTATACTATGTTATATATACGAAAAGTAGCTGATTCATACATTGCCTATGTCTACCTATTCAGCTCCAGCACTAATTCTGGTTACTATCATATTATCTGTATTCTTCTTCTCACATCCAGGCCAGACCAGCGCGCGCTGCTACACCTTCGCAGACAGTGGTATGAGGAAAGAGAAGAAGCCCAAGACTATCGATGTCACCGAATCCTACTGCGATGTTCGGAACGTGTGCATGAAAGGCGAGAGGTGTGTGCACACATACAAATACCTGGTATTTATCTGCAAGCTACTACGCGTATATGCAACGGACGATAGTATTTCGCACATTGCTTACAAGGACCACACATATATTGCTGTCATATATATACACATGCATATATTGCTATCATATATATATACACACGTATATATTGCTGTCATGTATATACACATGTATATATTTGCTGTCATATGTATAATATTACAGGGACCATTCATATGTATATATATGTGCAGGAAAGTAAACAAAGGCGGGCGTGAGAAAGCATCAAGGTCATAGCGTCAATGAAGTGTTGTGAGTTATGGGCGATGTGTGTTTGTACAGATACTGGTTAGTACACAAGAGTAGCTGTCTGGGTGTGGTCAGTATCGGGTCTCACACTTGTGTTCGTAGTATATGCATAAGCAGATATACAAGAGGGAATACATAAGTATAGAGCTAAGGGGTTTAGGGTTTATGGTTAGGGTTTTAGGGGTTTAGGGTTAATTCTGCATGATATGTTGTTCATTTTTTAGGAGTCTATGGATATGTATGCGATTTAACACACACTGTACATGTGTCGCTTTGGTGCTACAGTATCATTTGCGTGCCAACTGTAAGCCCTGTGTATGTGTTCTGTCGCTTATCACGTATTTAATAGAACTCGCTCTGTATGGTTTGCTGGAATCGCAAGTTGTTCGTAGATTCACATTATCATTAAAACGAGTATAAAGAGCTATCGGGAGTGCTACATCTTTTGAATTAACCAATATGTGTTTATGTATATGGAATACATTTGTATATTTGTCTTTATTTATGTTTTTATCAACCAATAATTTTGCTTTGCACGCATGTACAGTACATACATATGTTGTGCGTAAAAATTGAACAGACCAACACAGGAATATCTAGTCGCAAACACTAACATTAACCAAGCTTTTGCATGTGTTCAGGTTCTACGGGGTAGGGTTGTCGGCCGACGATTTCATATCCTTCCGAGTGGTTCGGATGGGCTCTCACAGCGCCTGTACATGGTATTGTCATGTGCCTGCTCTCTCTTTGTGTGGCATGTCTCAGTAGTGAGCATATGCGGTTGGCCCCAGTTGGTCTTGGAGACCTTGCAGTGTCGGCACATGCTATTACACTGTGTTGTGCGTATGCCTCTTCTTGTGTGATTTGTCTCTGTTTCAACCCAGGGCACTTACAAACAGCTCTGCTTCAGATCGCTTCATCTTCTGTGCGTAAGCGAATTCGTACACCATGGTACCGGTATCATTGTGTTAAAATGCAGACCCTGTGGTATAGGCGTATACATCTCACGATCCAGAAATAGGCTATCCCATCAGTGTGATTTATGGGATCACACGGCCTACCTCTGTTGTGACAACCCCCGATGAGAATATATTTATTCCCCGCAGTCCTGTCTCTGCCACTGATTTGGCCTCGTAAAACATATTGATATTGTACTTAGCGCAGTCACACTCTAATGTTTATGTCAATGGTAACTCAATGTTGCACTTTCTATTTTAGGAACTTTATATGTTATCTTTTCTCTATTTCAGGTCCATTCATGTCTCTGGCTATACATATATGCAATAGAGGTTGTGACCCTATATTGACACTAATTCCCAGGCGCTTGGCCGGAGCTTTCGATCCCAAAGCCCAAGCAACAGAAACGCGAGTGTATGGGAAGCCGGTGATATTTGTTATGAACCCCAACAACTTCAACCACTTGTCTACCATAACGACAGTCATTGGCATCTACGACGCCCTCGACCAGGTACCTGGACTGGCGTGGCGCTTAAGTATCTGTTGTTTTTAGTACCACGGCCCACTTTAAGCCTGAGGTCTATGAGCTTTCAGCACAGTTGGGGCGTTTATGAGACACTTTTTGGCCTTTCCCGTGAACCAGCATGTGTATACAATGTCGGTTCTGGCATGGGTATTGCTAGATGGAAGAATAAGCAATGTCAGTATGTGTATATATGTTTGTTTATAAAGTGATATATCTATTCAGAGACAATAGAAGGGGTATTATTTATGTTTGTGTATATAGTGATTCTATTCAGAGGCAATGGAAGGCTACGACAAATACCCGGACAATGTCGGTGCGTGTATATATGTTTGTTTATATAATAATATATCTATTCAGGGAAAATAGGAGACTATGAAAAATACCCGGACAATGTCGGTGCGTGTATATATGTTTGTTTATACAATAATATATCTATTCAGGGAAAATAGGAGGCTATGAAAAATACCCGGACAATGTTGGTGCGTGTATATATGTTTGTTTATACAATAATATATCTATTCAGGGAAAATAGGAGGCTATGAAAAATATCCGGATAGACGATAGAAAGGTGCCATTTACAACTATGCACCGAGTATTGAAGAAACGTTGACATAAATATGTATCAATTCATCAGGGAATCCACGTCCACATGTATATAGTTTCGGCCATTTTAACATCCTTAGTATATATTTTCGCACATTTTTTATATCCATGTGTATGTTCCCCGGCCATATATATATATATATATGGTTTATATTTGTCAAGAAAATTACTGCCATATAGCCGTGTATACGTCATCAGAACGGTTAACGGGATATTAATTTTCCAATTGTACTATTACTTGTCTAATTAAACATAGCATTCTTCCTCAGATTGGCATTGTTCCTATCAATGACGATACCAAATCCGGACCGAAAGTGACCATTATGCTGATGCAAGACGAGAAGGATATGCAAGTGCATGGACGTGAGCTCCTACACGAGTTCTTTGATCCCCAACGGTTTGATATAGACTACATCGGTGATTGGGCCAGCAACGAGTATGCAATGATATATATATATCTATATATATATACATATATATATATATATATATATATATATATATATATATATATATATATATATATATATATATATAGTATATATATATAGTATATATA